ATTTCTAATGAAAAAGAACCAGTAAAGACGAGTGTGCATTTTCAAATAATGCAGTGTGTGTTCAGGAGGTATCTGGCCTTTTCCACTGCACCGCTGGCCTGGTAAATGAGTGACAGGTTGAAGGCAATCTCCCTCCTCAGATCAACCTGGTCACCTGGGATGCCCTGCAGAAAAAATGAGAAGACAAAGGGAGAGAGAAAGAGGCAAACATCCATCACTGTCCTAAAGGCTACGTTTGCACTGAGCAGCAAGTTGTGTTTTTACCCACCTCCAGTTGTTTTGCTGGTAGTAAAAGCGCCTTTTGGTAGTAATGCATAGCCAAGTGTGTGAGGCCCATTTGGTGCAGCGCTCGGCCTAGGTTGTACATACTCTCTTGACACTCTCCACGAAGCTCTACGTAACGCCACAGGAAGGAGAAACCCTGAGAGCACACGTTGGTTTTAGAAGAACAGACTATAGGACTGAACTGTGCACAGAAATAAACGAACTCTGTACCTGCAGCACCAGCGTGTGCCGTTTAGCCACAAACCTCTGAGATGCCATGTGGAAGAAGGTGAGACCTACAAACAGGCTGTGCAGTGGGTTGCTGGGATGAGTCTGGAAGGCCTGAACATACTGACCTGAAAACACATCCAGTGTTTGAAAAATGTACTACTGTGAACATAATCCCTAAACCCTTTACACCGCGCTCCAAGCTATTATGCAAATTGTGTTAAAGTGTCATAACGATTAAATAAGCTGTTCTTCGATAAAAACCATGGATGGGAGTGTGTCTCAGGACTCTGTGTTTCACTGAAATCAACCTCGGACCCCTGTGATCGTTAGTTTGCCAGCTGAGCCCAATTAAAGGAAAAACTACTAAAGGAGGATGTTCCACATTATTAAGCAGGCCTCCATTTTCAAGCAACAGAGGAATGAAAAAGGATCTCTGCTGCTGAAGAGTGTGAAATAGTTGAATGCCTTGGACACGTAACGAGATATTTCACAAATATTTCAGCGTGATCACCATCATGTTAAGAGATTTGTGAGTCAGAGCACACATGGGTCCGTGCAGGTAAAGGCACAATGATGAAGGTTTCAGACAAATGCATCAGATTAAGAGAGCAGCAGCTAAAAGGCCATCACAAAGCAGCAAACACATGTTTGAAGCTGCTGGTGCCTCTGGAGCCCTGCGAACATCAAGCTGTAGGATCCTCCAGAGACCTGCAGCTGTGCATAAACCACCTCCAACCAATGCTCACAAGCAGAAACGCTGCAGTGGGCCCAGAACTACAAGAAGACTCGTTTTCAAACGGTCTTGGTCACTGATGAGTGCAGCGCAGCCCTGGATGGTCCAGATGGATGCAGAGGTGGACGGTTGGTGGACGGCCACCGTGTCCCAACAAGGCTGCATCGTCAGCGAGGAGGTGGAGTCACGTTTGAGCTGGAATCACAGGGAGAGAGCTGGTCGGCCCCTTTAGGGTCCCTGAAGGAGTGAAAATGACCTCTGCAGAGGATGTGGAGTTTCTGACTGACCACTTTCTTCCATGGTAGAAAGAGA